AGCCAAATTAGATCAAAAAATGAAAATGCTCTAATGATAGACATCCAAGGCATGCACAGCTCTTTTAATGAAATTATAGCCTCATTATTCAAGAACCTTAAAGAGGATGTCATAGCAGCAAAACAACACTTCATGAAAGGAACACGCACACACTTGGAAATTGTGTTCGAAAACAAAGACAAATTAAAACACCATGCTATCAAGGGTATTAATATTTTTGGCAGAACCTACTTCAGCTTTATTCCTACAGATTCAAGAAAATCATTTCTTCTAGTTAAGATCAGAAATGTTTCACTAGGTAACAAAGAAACAATATCAGATGCTATAAAAGAAGCCTTCAAGTTTGTGGAAAGAATCACATCAATCAAGCCTCTACTGATTGAAGGAACACCTTACCTTATGAACCAATGGATTATAATCTTTGAAAACTCAGACGATCCTAACCTAGAAAGTAAAATACCTCGTTTCACACATATGTGGGACAATAAGGTCACAACGGAATAGAAATCAGCACCTAAGATGTGCTATTTCTGTGAAAAAAGAAGGCCATGCTAAAAAAGAATGCCAACAATTTCAGAACTCAGTAAATCTACGAATTAGCTACCAACAATACAAAGAGGACAAACATAATAGAAGACTCTCAAATGACTTTCAGGAATTAAATGAGACTCCAAAAAGTACTGAACAGAGCAATGAAGAACCTCTATCACTAGCAAACCCTAAGCAGCAAGAACAAAATATTACAAAAGATGATATGCATATGGCCTTAGAGGAAACTGACCTTAGCTATCCACAAAACCTTCAGCTTCCAGTTTCAGCAAAATTAGCTACAACAAATAACAGCTCAGATGAACAAATGCAAGTAACAACCCAAGAAGATCTTTTACCACATACAGAAATGCTACCAAGAGATGAATTCACCATTTATGGCTATGGAACACCATATCCATCTGCAAGTCGCATCCCTAAAGCAGCTTTTTCTTCTAACAAAAATAAAGAAACAGATGGCTTTATTACAGTCATTAACAAAAAAAACAAGAAAGGAAACAGAACATCTAAGAAAGACGAAACAAGATCATCTCTATACAAAAAAACTTATAGAGAAGCAAGCTATTCCCAATTCAAGGAATCCAACAACCTCATATAATTTATGACTCAAAAAACCAAATTAAAAATAGCAACACTAAATGTAAAAGGACTTAACGACAAAGGAAAACAACAAAACTCACTAACTCTCTTAAAATCATACAAACTAAACATAATAATGCTTCAGGAAACTAACCTTAGTAATGAAAAAACACAAAAATTTCTCAAACAACAATGGATTTACAATTCAATCTGAACTAAAAAAACAGCAATTCTAGTAGAAAGCAAAGACATTGAATTTAAAAACATTCAGATAAGCCATGAAAAAAAAATAATAACAACAGACTTTGTATTTAAAGGATACTCCTTTAAAACAACAAACATCTATGCACAACCAAACATTAGTGACAGAATAACCTTTTTAATGACTGAAAACCTCAAATCAAAGAAAACAATATAAACATTATAGCAGGAGACTTCAATGTTAATCTTAATCCCAAAGACAACAGGATAAGTCAAGCAACAGCCTAACATGACTCAACTAGGACCCAGCTCTTCAACCTAACAAAAGAATTTATTAACATAGCAGAAACATCAAGCACCAAGCTCTTTCTAACTTTTTTTCAGAAAACACAAAATAATCACTCAATGGCTATATGTTTGGACTACCTCCTAGTAAGATGCATATTGGAATTCAAACAAGAATCTAAACAGCCTTCAGTTTGAAAGTTCAATAAAGAATCTTTTAAAAATAAATTACTAAAAAAAGAGGTATTAGAGGAAATTTGGGATGTTGGCTCAGTAGAAAACTGAGATTTATGTAAAATCTACATACAATCAATCATCAGAACCTTTTGAAAACCCAAAGCTCCTGAAAACAAAATGGCAAAGCTAAACAAAGACATTACAAAGCTAAGTAAGGAGCTTGCAGCAGACTTCTTGAAAGAACACCTTAATGAAAACATAGAAGAACTTAACCTTCAAATATAAGAGAAACTAACTAAGATGGCTGAGTTATAGTTAATTCAGTCAAAGACAAAATGAATCGAAAATGAAGAAAAGTTAACAAAATACTTCTTTTCAAGATACAAAGCAAGAAAATTACAAAGTGCTCAGTCTAGAATCGAAATACCTAAAACTTTAAGCTCAGAAAATGAAGATACACTTACATATATTAAAAACCAATATATGAAAATCTACAAAGAAGAAGATATAGATCTTAAGGTAGCAGAAAAGATTACTGAAAGTCTTTCTCAAGTACCATGAAACCAAAATGACAACTTAGTCAAAAGAATTTCACAAAAAGAAATCATCTAAACAATACAAGGCCTTTCTAATAACAAGTCACCTGGCACTGATGGGCTAACTTACGAATTCTACAAACTTACATTATCAGAAATAGCATCAGTTCTTGAAAACTTGTTTAATTAAGTACTAGATACTGGTTGTTTACCTGATTTATAGTGCAGAAACATAATCATACTAATTCCCAAAAAGTCAGAAAACTTAAAAGACTTAAACAACTGGCATCCAATCTCACTAGTAAATTGCAATGCTAAAATTTTTATGAAAATTATAGCAAACAGGCTTAACATAATCTGCAAGAAAATTATCTCTAATTAACAACAAGAATTTGTTTCTAGAAGATCAATAATGGACACAATCTTGAATATAATTACCATATTAAGAAACCAATCAGACAGCTCTAAACAGCACTGGATGCTTTTAGTAGATCAGCAAAAGGCTTTCGACAGAGTGAACCATAACTTTTTGAATCTGGTTCTAAGAAAAATAAACTTGACAAAAAAATGACCAACTTGGTAGCCAACCTCTTTTCAAACCAAATGGCATACATTATGGAAGCCAATGTCCTATTTGAACCTTTTAGAGTAGAAAGAGGAGTATGACAAGGAGATCTACTCTCCTCTCTACTATATGTACTTGCAGTTGAACTACTACTTATACAACTAGAAAGAAACATTTAAGAAATTTCCTTAAAAAACCAGTTCTTTAAACTGTTAGCTTATGCAGATGACTTAACAATGAGAATAAGCTCATTATCAGACTGAATAAACATTATGCAACTTTTTGAAATCTACAAAGCTGCCTCTAATGCAAAAATTAACAAAAACAAAACCAAATTAGTGCTTCTTACAAATACAGCCTGCAGAATCGAACTTAAGAATAAATCCCAATTTACTAAAACTACAGAACAGGAAACACTAACAATTCTTGGGTATGAAGTAAACACAAAAGGCATTCCTAAAAAAGACTTATGAACAACAACAATCACCAGGATAAAAAAGATACTAGAAAAATCATCTAATCGAAATCTTTCTTTTAGAGAAAAAATCCTTTTAACTAAAGCACTTATACTTTCATAAATATAGTATACAGCATACCTGACTCCACCAAGTAAAAAACAGATTGCAGAAATCAACAGACTTATGACACTCTGGATTAAAAACAATTCCAGAATGCTGCCTAGATACTCTATATTCCAACAATCACTTGAACAAAATGGTCTTCAAGCTCCAATAGTAGGAGATATGCTAGATGCTAAACTAATCTCAGTATAGAAAAAACTCCTTACTAGTGACTTTACATAGGCCAAATATAAAAGAAAAAAAATTACAGAAATCTTATTCGAAAAAGGGAACATATCAATAAACCAGGCATTAAAAACAGACATTATTAGATCAAAAGCCTGGCCAAAAGAATGAAAACCATACCTGTTAGCTTGGAAAAAGGTCAAAAGCAAAGTTACTATGACAATGAGCTGGCCTTGGGAGCTTAAAGATATTGAAATAGAAAAACTTAACAAAGAAGAACTTTCAGTCAAGAAAATCATTGAAATTTTAAGAAAAAGGCTGACATCAGAGCCACCTAATTCTAGCCAACACTCTAACTAGATGCTAGTTAAGAAAACAACTAACAAGAAAAAAGATATTTTATAGCACCTTTTCCATAAAACTTTACTACTAGAATACTGGCTACAGCATATAAGTCCTTTTATTACAGAAAACTGCCCCTGGTGTGACAATAAGCTACAAATAGCTAAGCACTTTGCACTTAAATGCAAAGTTAGCAAAGAAATATAGAAACAGGCCTATAGCCTTCTAAAAACTAACCAAGCTGAGACTCCTCCAACCTCTATAGAAGAAATTTTTACAGCAACAAATATTATAAATAATGAAAGCAAACAAGCTACTTTTTGGTTGCACACAAACATAATTTATGAAATATGGTGTACTTACACCTCTTTCAAATAGAAAGACAGCAACTTTTCAAGCAGAATCCTATCTCTAATAGTAATTAAACATCTTCACAAAAACATACATACTCTGTACCACAATCTAAAAAACTGTTCTCAAAAAATGAAAAATATATATAAATATATACAATGTTCTTAATAATTTGATTTTAATAAAAGAGTGCTATACATGCCCCTAGGTATTAACACCAGGGATAAATAAATAAAAATAAAAAATTTCTTAATTACATATTTGGAACAAACTACATGTAGAACAGCATTTCCTACATTTAAAGTCAATTCAAGAACAAGTTTTTTAACAATTCTAGCTATAGAACAAATAGGATGTTGATAAAATTAATCTTATCGATTTTACTAATTATAGTTAAGTTGCTTTATTATTTTTAATTTTATTTTATAGCATCTTTTGAATCCATATTGATGATATATAAAAATAATTAGTTTAATTAGTATAAGTATAAAAATTATAATTACTTAAATTAAATAACTTTTATACTAAAAAAATACAATAATATTAGAAGCCATCAGGCAAAATGTTATAAAAGAAATATATCAATATTGAACAAGGCATGAATTATGATTGCTCTAGGCTTATTTGTAAACCAATTGGTATTCATCACAATGATGGTACTTTTGAGCATGGTTAACTAAACTGACTATCTCTTTTGGTAATTTAATCTATTTATAGTTATTTATTTAAATAAGTTCATTTAGTATTTATTTTATATATAAACAATTAATAATTTAATTAAGAAAAAACTATAATGAAAATAGAGGCACATTGGAGTGTAATCAAGTGACACTATTTATATCATTTTAGCCAACCTAGGTTAGATCTTATGCTATAAACACTTCTTACTAAAGTAGTGCCTATACAAAAAACCTGGTTTTTTCAAATTTTAACAAACATAATAGAACCAAATTGGTAAGAGGATTTCAAAAATGAATGGATTTGTGCTAGTGCAAGTAATGGAAGATGCATGCTAATAGGTCTGGTAAAAAAAAAAGAAGTATTGATATAAGAACAACAGGTTTAGATGGTCCATATTTTACCCAAATTACCTAATAGGTCTGTAGTTGTTTTATGTTTTTTAAAAATTGTTTTTTGTTGTGTAAACATTTAGTAAGACCAAATGTAAATACATCTGATAGAAAAAGATAATGTTTGCTCAGAGGTAAATTTGAACATCATACTACATCTTAATTTTTTGTTCTAAATAATCCTGAAAATAATGATACTATATTACCAGATATTCAAATCATCACCCAAGTTGCTAAAGCAAATAATCTTGAAGTTATTGTTAACAATTTCATAGAAAGTTATGACATTAATCCAGATGAAGACCCAAATGAAGAAGCTTATTTTTATGTTGAATTAAATTGAAAATTGTTTATACAAGCATTTGAGCAAATTTATTTAGAAAAATCTGCTGATAATTGATTACATGTTAGAGCCATAATGAAGTAAAGCCATCTGATACAAATGGAAAAAGACATTCAAGTTGCAGAATGGCAGAAACACAGGTGAGTAACTTGGGACTGAAAAATAATAGAAAACCATATCTTATATAGTTAACAGTATTCTGAAAAGTCAAAAACAGTAGAAGTAACAAGTAATAAGAACATAAAAATTATAAATAAAAATGAAAAATAAATAAAATATAGTAATAAAATTATATAAAGTAAAAGTGACTAAAAGTTTTTTATATCTTTAAAGTTTGAAATTATATTAAGTTAGACCATATATGTTTGGAAGCAAAGTAATTCTAAATAGGAAAAATAAACCTCTACAGCAAGTCAAGCAAGCTTAAAAAAGGTTTAAAAACAAGGGCACTTATTCTTGTTACAAGAAAAAGATTTTTTAAAGAGTTTAACAATACAAAAAGCCTTAGTAAAATGGCAAAAAAACAAAAAACAACAGCAAATGCTAGTAAAGAAAATATTATGAATGTGAAGTCTTTAACAGAAGACAGTAGCAGCTCAGGCTCACTAGAGCACACTACTTCAAATAATTCTAGTTGGGATGAACAAGTAGCTTAAGAAGCTAAGGAACTTAGAGAAATAACAAATATACATAACAATGAATCAGAAGAAAATAGAACTTATTTAATGAAAGAAAAAAATCCATACTTAGAAGAGGTAAACAACACAGTACTACTTACAAACCAAGATGACAAAGGTAGTATATGTGACAAAGCAGAGTTTGAAACAACAACAAATGATGAAGTAAATAATGAAACAACAATACACATTAAAGAAAACATCAAAATAACAACACATAAAGGTCTAATGAATGAACAGAACAACTTAATATTAAAGGAATATCCTATTCCTAGCTTCAGCAGATTTAGTAACCCATTAACAAAAAAATGGTCAAGCCTATTTCCTAAACTCAAAAGAGGCCAGTCAACTTACTTCTCTTTTTCTCCTAGAAACACAATTAGGTTAAAAAACAAAAATGCCCTTATTATAAATATACAAAGCTTACATGACTCTTTTAATGAAATTATGTCATCTTTATTTGAAACAGCAAAACATAATATAATCATAGCTAAACAACATTTCACTAAAAAACAAAAACCTACTTAGAAATAATTTTTATAGACAAAGATAAACTAAGAAGCTATATGAAGAATAATGTTAAAATCCTCAACAAGACATACTATAGTTACATTCTAGTGGACATGAGAAAATCTTTTCTGCCAGTCAAAATCAGAAATGTACTACTAGGCAACAAAGAAGAACTATCAGATTCAATAAAAGATGCATTTGAGCATATAGGTAAAATAGTATCAATTAAACCCCTGCTAATTGAAGATATGCCATACCTGACAAATCAGTGGGTTCTAATATTTGAGACTACAGAGGATCCTTATTTAGAAGAAAGAATTCCTAGATTTATCCATATTTGGGATAACAAGGTCATGACAGAGTAGAAAGCTGCAGCAAAAGTGTGCTACTTTTGTAAAAAAGAAGGGCACATCAAAAAAGAATGCCAACTAATTTTTTAACAAAAACTCTCTTTGATTCACTACTAGAAATATAGCAAATACAAAATTTTGATACAAAAACTAGAAGTTAAACTCTTTCTGGTTTGTTTCTGGAACTTATAAAAATACAAAATTTTATAACAAAAAGAAACAATTCACTTTACAAACTCAAGTAAAGGGGAATACATAACTCCCAAAAAGCATAAACTACTGTTAACAGCTATGAGCAAGCTTTTATACAAAAAAGTAAAAGCAGATACTGGTAAAGACTGAGTCTTTAAGCTTATAAAAACCAAAGAAAACAAGGAGAACTTTATAGTTCCAAAATCAGTGAAGTTGTAAACAGCAAATATGAGGCACATACAGCAGTAAACATAGCAACAAAAAAGTCTAGTTTAGACTGGGCTAGTCAAGTTGAAGCTGACTCAAAAGCTAGAGA